TGTCATTTAAATGTTGTCATTTTTTTAGAAATTAAATCACCTTCTGTATTTTAAGCTTTCTACGCTAACATTTCATATTTTCTGTTCCAACGACATGAAAATGAGTATTTAGAAAGAATATGTAATAAAAAAACCAGTAATATAATAGTGAAGAGAGATAAAAATATAAATAATAAATACACACACACACACAGACACACACACACACACACATATATATATATATATTGTCATTCGCAAACAGTAATGCTTCAAGTCCCCGCAGACTGCAATGTATCTTTGAAGATATTCAAAAAGCTGTCAAAATACAAGGACCTAGAAATAGATATCTCGAAAATGTGGCATATGGGAACATGAACAATCCCTGTTGTAGTTGGAGCCCTAGGACTGGTTGGAAAAGATTGCGGTAGACTAATTGAAGGGATTCCTGGAAGTCCATGCATCAAGGAGATACAAAAAATTGTTCTGACAGTTGCAGCCCACACTTTACGAAGGGCTTTATCTATGGAATTTTTTTTTCTTTTTTTTTTTTTTTTTGTCAGTGGAAAGTGTCATAATGCCATTTCTAACCTTAGGTCCCTGGGCGGGACCCGGAAAGAAATGTGTAAACGCCAGAAATCAAAGAAAATAATAATAATAATAATAATACTCAAAAATGTAGCACATGAAAATATCAACAATCCCTGTTGTAGTTGGAGCCCTCGGATTGGTTGGAAAAGATTCCAGTAGACTCATTGAAGAAAGACATTCACCATCAAAGATGATATTCTATGTTCACATGACTAATTGAAGGGATTCCTGGAAGCCAATACCTTAAAGAAATACAAAATATTGTTCTCACGAGTACAACCCACATCTTACGAAGGGATTTATCTATGTAAAATATGTTTTGAATTGGTCAGTGGCAGATATCATAATGCCATTTCTAACCTTAGGTTTCTGGTCGGGACCCAGAAAAAAATGTGTACACACCAGAAATCAAAGGAATAATAAGTTTTTCGTTACACAGCTCAGACCTTACGGAGAGCTTTATCTATCAAGAATGTGTTGGTTTCGTTCGTTTTCTTTCTTTTTTTTAGGTTCAGTGGAAATTGTCATGATGCCATCTCTGTGAAGAAGAAGAAGAAGAAGAAGAAGAAGAAGAAGAAGAAGAAGAAGAAGAAGAAGAATTATTGTTGTATGGAATTCAAGAAAATTACGTGTTTTTCGAAACCATTAAAAACGTAACGATTTCATTCTATTTTAACGGATAAAACTTAAATATGAATTATGAATATATATATATATATATGTGTGTGTGTGTGTGTGTGTGCGTAAAGTGTTTAAATTGATAAATTACTGTTAGTTTATAAACATTAGAAACCATTTATTTTGTTTATATTTTTTCAAACGGTTGCGATGTAAATGCAAATTGTTAATATATTTGCTGTAAACAATTTAAAATTTTAATCTTAATTTTATCTTATATCGATTAGAATTGCAGTCTGATATTTTTGTTTGTTTCTGATGAACAGAAACGTTAAATCGTATTTTAAAATATGTGGTGTCACGGGTAAAACAGATCTTGCCAGAATAAATAAACTAGAAGCGTCACAATTATTACATGAAAATAGAAAAAACCACATCCTGCATTTACCTTTGCGGGGTTTACCAAATTCGAGATCTCAAGGGCGAAACGAGTTTGGGGTCTAAATATATACTCAGCTGAATCTGTTCGTTCAAATAAGAAAAGACAATGCCAACAGATGATTCCAAATGCACTCCTTTAACCAGAATATACTCATACAAAAAGAAAGGATATATTATTATTATTGTCATCATCATCATCATTCGATTTCTGCTATGGACACACTACCTACCAAGTCTGCGGAAAGACCTAAGGCAGGTCGTGGTGTGTTGTTATGGCCACATTTCATGTTAATAATTTTTTTTTTTTTTTTTTATCTCCGATGAAGTTGCTAGCGTTACATAGACAAAGTTCTCCTTAGTGTGTGTGCTGTACTTAATAAGACAATTTTCTGTATGTCTCTTAAGCTGGGGTTTCAGGGATTCTTTCAATGTGTTGTTTTGTTCCATTTTTATAATTCCAAGTGCACCTATTACCACTGGTATTATTCTTGTTTTCAATTTCCACATTTTTCTATTTCATTATTATTATTATTATTATTATTATTATTATTATTATTATTATTATTATTTTTGATTTCTGGCGTTTACACATTTCTTTCCGGGTCCCGCCCAGGGACCTAAGTTTAGAAATGGCATCATGACACTTTCCACTGACAAATAAATAAATAAATATATAAATAAATACAAAAAAATTACATAGATAAAGCCCTTCGTAAAGTGTGGGCTGCAATTGTCAGAACAATTTTTTGTATCTACTTGAGGCATGGACTTCCAAGAATCCCTTCAATTAGTCTACTGCAATCTTTTCCAACCAGTCCTAGGGCTCCAACTACAACAGGGATTGTTGATGGTCCTATATGCCTCATTTTCGAGATTTCTATTTCAAGGTCCTTGTATTTTGACAGCTTTTTGAATATCTTCAAAGATACATTGCAGTCAGCAGGGACCGCCATATCAGTAAGGAGGCACCGTTTTTGTTTGTGGTCTTTAATAACAATATCTGTTCGGTTGGCTTTGATTGTTCTGTCTGTGTGTATTGTGTAGTCCCATAAAATTGTAACAGGTCCTATCTCCGTAACCTGGTCTGGTTGGTGTTCATACCATTTTCTTTCAGTTTCCTTCCCGTAGAAGTTGCAGATTTTCCAGTGCAGATATTGGCCCACTCTGTCATGTCGGGTTTTATATTCAGTGGGTGCCAATATCGTGCAACCTGATACAAGATGATCAATCGTTTCTGGATATTTATCACAGAATCTGCATTTTGGGCTGACACAATATTTTAGTATATGTGCTTGATAATTCCTAGTTAGCAAGCATTGGTCCTGTGCAGCAAGGATAAAACCTTCAGTTTCAGCTTTCAAATTATTATTATTATTATTATTATTATTATTATTATTATTGTTGTATGTACAAAACGATGTTAGTATGCAATTATACCACTTACCAAAGATTGTCTTAATGAATATTTATGTGCGATCTCTCCTCATGGCTCTCCACAACTTCCTGGCCATTATAGCTCTTAATAGATTTTGTCTTCTCTTATTTCTCGTAAAGCATTCCGCCATCTATTTACTTAAGCTCATTATGTTATGCGTTATTTCCCTCTCTCCCTTTGGACGTTAATCTATCCAGTGAGTATCAGATTCTCCAAGCATTCTTTCCTCATTATGTGCCGCAGAAATTTCAACTGCCTTTTCCTGATGTTAAGTTTTCTTTTTGTTTCCATTTTCTCTAAAACTTTGTCGTTGGTTACAAAATAAAGTCTATGGTAACCTCAGCACCCTTCTGTAGAAACACATTTCTGTTGCTTCAAGTCTCTTCTTCATCTTTGAGGAGACTGTCCAGCATTCGCAGCCATAAACGAGGACATATTTTACATAACAGTTTAGTATTCATTTCCTTGTTTCTAATGAAGTTTTTCTATTTTAGAATTCTCTGCTTAGCTTTTGAAAGGCATCTTTCGCTATCCCAATGCGCCTTCGGATTTCAGTGTCGTACTTTCCATTGTCTGTTAATACGCTTCCCAGATATCGAATTTATTGTACCTGTTTCATTTTCCAAGCCTTCTTTCTTCATTATGTGTCCCCAAAATTTCAACCGCCTCTTCCTGATGTAAAGTATAAGTGTTGTTTTTGTTGCTATTGTTTCTAGAACTTCTTCGTTATTTATATGCTCGGTCTCTGGCATTCTCAGCATCCTTCTGTAGAACCACTTTTCTCTTACTTTAATTCTTTTGTGAGGAGATTGTCCAGTATTTACAGCCATAGAGGAAGTCTGATACTACATGACAGTTCTGTAATCTTTTTGTTTTTAACGATAGTTTTCTTTTTTCCTTTTTCTTAATATTTTACTTAGCTTTTGAAAGGCATCTTTCACTATCTCAATGCACCTTCGGATTTCAGTGTCACACTCTCCTTCCTCTGTTAAAACATTCAAGGATAAAAACCTCTTGCACTGGTAATCTACGCGACAAGAAAAAGGAAATGAATCCAGTTTGAATGAAATTCAAATGTTTTATATATAACTTCTGCATAAATATTGTGACGAGATACCTACCCTTGTCCAGTCAATTCCGACCGTTACAGCAAAGACCCACCATACCACGGACACAGATTCGACTCATTCTCACTCTCTCCGTATAGCAATGGTAAGGAGGAAGTTCCATTCGGAAAGCGTTTTTCCTAGAGCTGCTGCTTTGTGGAACAGACTCTCAATAGAATGATTCCCCCGACGATTACAAGTTGAAGCTCTTTAACTGTTAACTCTTATCTATCCTACATATCCTTATAATCTACCATTCTTACGCCCATAAACCAACCCCATTTTGTAACCGTCTGAATTGAGTGGCTCTTCGGTGAATAATAGAATAATTAATAACTTGAAGGCAGACATATATACGAAATATTGTTAAACATTGTGTGTTTTATTTTCTGGAAATTTTGATTTTCTGGAAATGTTATAAAACATGAGAAGAGTTATTATTATTATTATTATTTTCTCATAATTTCTCGCTTTTCTCTTAAATCTCAGCTGTTATTATCCCTTGCGTAATTTAGAAAATGTATATATACTTGTAAAATCGTTGTAACGTCTATCGTCTTTCTTTCTGCTTGACTCTTTCCACCACATAAAGAACAAAAGCAGAAATTAGTTAAAACTGATTGCCAAATTTTGGTATGAACTGAATGCTCACGGAAAATGCACCAATTGACTGATAATGATTTTATTGGTTCTGTCAATGTCAAAAAAAAACACCCTCTTGACATTTGAACTGAGATGGAGGCAAACAGAGCTGGGAAATTTATCAATTTATTCGACAACGACCACGAGGGTATTAATAATAAACATTAGATGTTTGTTGATAAGAGAACAACAAAGAAGAAGAAAAAAAAGAAGAAGAGGGTGAGAAAGAAGAAAAAATGGTAGATTTGGAGAAAAAAGAAGGGGAGTGGGAATAAGAATGAAAATAGTAGGAGGAGGAGGAAAAAGAAGAAGAAGAGATGGAGGAGGAGGAGAAAAAAAGAAGAAAAGAGATAGAAGAGGAGTAAAAAGAAGAGAAAAAGAAAAGGAGGAGGAGGAGGAGGAAGAAAAAGAAGAAAAAAGCGAAACAAGGAAAAAAGAAAAAGGAAAAAGTGAACGGTTTTGAAGGGAGAAGAAAAATTAGTACACGCAGATATAAACCGTAGAAAAAGTAAAAAAAAAAAAACATTTAGGAAGTAGTAAGGAGAGGAAGTATCGTGTGCAATGACACAAACATCTCAATTCCCCAATCTCATCAATTTTCTTCACATATTTTAAAACTTGGTTTCAAGAGAAATTCTCATTCGAAAAAAGGTTAATGTCACTTATTTCAGCGTTATTGAGAATGTTGGTGATGCTGTTTAATAAGAACCAATAAAAATGAGCGTCACATTGATAATATTAACAATCAATTCTAATCAGTTTTACAGACGTTGGTTTGATTACCGATGGTTATCTCCCTTTACGCTTCCATCGATATAGTCTTCGACCTTTCTGAATAAAGCATCAAACTTCTTTTTATGTATCGTGCCCCTTCAGGACTCTGGCGATCATGGTCCTCTACAATCTCCTTGTACGATGTAATAAATTCAATATGGATATGGATATTAGTCGAAACAGCATAGTAAATAATTTTAATGACTCCCTCGATATTTCTAGACAATACGCAAATACATCTCAAAGTCCGCAGCCAAATGAAAAAGAAAAATCAAATATTTATTTTTTATCATAATCTCTTTCCCTAACAATGCACTTAATTGAATGCTAAATATTAATCATAATGGGCACATATAAAGTGATAAGAATTTCACTTCAAAATTCATTTAGGAACTAGATGTCTTCCCTTGAAATATTTGCCTAATTGTACGACAAAATATATTCTTCAACCGGATCTTGAATTACAGGTTTTCTCTATTAAGTCGTACGAACTCAAGTAGATTACAACTTTTTCAGAACATTTGGCTTGGCAAAAAAATGGGGACTTCTGAAGCTAGGATACTAGTCTTTTTTCAATGTAAGGCTTTAAGTTCGATATTATGGACCCCAACGTCACAATGATAACTGAGATAATAGTCTCCAACATTCTGTAAACTTCAAGCTGATTTCTCGTTGCATTTTTAAATTTGTCGAATTATTTGACCAAATAAAAGCGGTTTTGTCGTTTGTATCTTCCGGCCTGTGTTATATTCCTTCATTGTATTACAGTACCTTGCTTAATGCAGAAGACTAAGTTGTGCTTTCAGAATGTAAAATCAAGTGCCTCATGATAGGATCGATTCCCTAGATCGATATAATAAAGAAGTCAACTTGCAGATAAATCGACGATGGTTAGTTTCGAACTCTGGCTTCATGTTCTGAATGCTAACGCTGTAAGCACCAAGGGAATGACGATGTTAGAAATTGCGAAAAAGCTTTCAACAGCGATTACATAAAAAGTAAAAGAAAAACAAAAAACAGTGCTTATCGAGTTAGGCTTTTATTCAACCCATGACCTTTTAGGCTGTGATCAAAGTGTACTATCTGTTTTTATCTTCATTGTTAATGATAATATCATCCGTTTCGTTATAAGGGAACATTTGGTATTCATTGAAGACACTAAACTGATGAAATAGCCGCTCCAAAATTCCAATAGTGGTCCAGGTAAAAATAAAACAAGAACATTTCTGGAAAACAATAATTATGACTGTCCATATATTTTTAATCATTTTACCCAAAGCAAGGCGATAATGCCACTAAGATGTTATGGTTTGCTGGAAGTGAAAGTGAATGAAAAAGGAGAATAGACAATAAAAGAACTGTTATTCCCTAGACAGAAGATGCTGATTAGCTTTGCATTTGAAATTTTTGAAGATTGTGGGTAGCAGGCAAGCAATAAACCGGAACAGAGTTCCACAGGCGAGGAGTACGAGAAATGAACTATTAGTATAGAACTTACTGTTACCTCTAGTTTTTGCAACAACAAAACGATGTGTCCTAGTAGCCAATCTATTAGTACACTTTACTTCAGGCAGCCGAGGTACCAAGGTTGAAAGCTCATCACAACAATTGCCAATAAAATATTTATAGATAAAACAGAGGGAAGCAACGTCATGACGATGTGAATATGACTGAAGCCGAGATTCCAGATCAGGACGAATAACATTACATACCCGACTCTGGGATTTGTCAGTTTTTGTTATTTAATTTGAGTCGAGTGTGCTATTACAAATAAGTGACTTCAGTCAAGGAAGCCCTCAACCCAACAATGCCATGTCATCATACCCCTGCCTGCATACATAAGTCCAGTCATTTTACTGAAAGAGAACAATATATACCTATAGATTAAATAAAGTGTTCAGTTCAATTGGTTTAGTTTGGTTTATTTTGTTTTACGGCATATCAACACCTCAATGAGTTATTTAATACCGAAAAGATTTTAGGATAGTTTCATGTAAATAGAATATGTATTCTTTGTAAGAAATCATATTTGTAGATCAGGGTTGGAGCTTAATTTGTTTTACGGCATATCAACACCTCGATGGGTTATTTATTGCCGACAAGATTTTTAAGATAAATTCGTATGAATAGAATATGTATTCTTTGAAAGAAATCAATTTGTAGATCAGGTTTCATTGACGTATTTCTTAAAGACGGTTTTTGTCGAGAGTCAAATCTATTGCTAGTATTTTGTTTTCAAAAATATATAGCCGAAAAGATTTTAGGATATGTCCATCTAAATAGAAGATGTATTCTTTGTAAGAAATCATATTTGTAGATAAGGGTTGGAGCTTAATTTGTTTTACGGTATATCAACACCTCGATGGGTTATTTATTGCCGACAAGATTTTTAAGATAGATTCGTATGAATAGAATATGTATTCTTTGAAAGAAATCAATTTGTAGATTAGATTTCATTGACGTATATCTTAAAGACGGTTTTTGTCGAGAGTCAAATCTATTGCTAGTATTTTGTTTTCAAAAATATATAGCTGATAATATATTTTATTGCTTTTCAAAAATGTATTTCTGGTATTTTTAATATAAAAGTGTATTTTTATACTTTCATAGTGTTTTGTTTTTGTTTGGGAGGTTAACTATTTACCCATAGCTGGGACCCTAACAGGTGAAACCACCTTGGTTCAGGGTGGGCATGGGTACAACAGCAATAAAGAGGTGGTTCTACGCTCCTCAAAACCTCCTATCTGTCGACCCGAGGCCTTGCTGTCGGATGTATTTTATCGTCATTCCGAGGGCGTGCTCTGTTCGAAATTCACTGGAGGCACCTGAAAAGGTTGGGGGACACAACTGCAGAATCGCTGTGATGATTAAAAAAAGATGAGGACGACAGTTCGTATGCAATAATCCTGATCTGCAGCCGTAATGAAATTTCCCTGTGTCGTTTTTAGATCTTTATGACAATTTTTCTAATGAAATTTCCTCTTTGGTATAACAACTTTATAAGTTTAAGCGCAGTACTAGATTGTCGGTTAGGTCTCATCATTTTACATTTAAAATTGCTGGACGCCATCTTAAGTTTTATGCTAACAGTTTCTTCTCGCCTGTGGAACTCTGTTCCGGCTTCTTGCTTTCCAATTTATTTTGATCTGCAAAAATTTACATTCTATATCACCCAATGACCCTTTGCATCTCAGTGGTTTTATTGCCTTACTCAGTGTGAAATGATTAGACGTTGTTCTCCTATCGAGTCTCTCAAATCCTTTGAAGAGTTACGCTCTCTTTCCTCATGTCACACCTGTCTTTAATATATCCTGTAAGCATTAAAAAGTCCACACTATCGTTCTTTTCCCAATTACCGTAGTCTCTTTATTAATGTTATCAGCAGTTTCCTTTTATTTCTTATTCTCTTTAAATCTTCCTCATTGTTCGCATGTTCTGTCCCTGATATTCTTTTCGTTAATCGGGCGAATCATATATATGTTGTCTAAATGTCCTTTCTTCATCGGTGAGGCGATTGTCCAATGTTCACTGCCAAAGAATATTCGATATTAACCATTATTATCAATGATTTCATTAATCTTTAATTATTATCGAGTTTAAGCAATTAAGACATTATCCCAATTAACATAGCTACGTTTCTCTCTCCTTCTCTTTCTCTCTACTCTGCTATCTTTATCTTTCCTCACTTTCACTCCTCTCTCTTTACTCTCCTCTCTATGCTGACGATAAACTACATCCGGCAGCAAGGCTGCTGATCGGGAGATTGGAGTTTTTTGAGGAATGTCGAACCAACTCTTAATTGCTGCTTTTCCCAGGTCCACTTCTACCCGGGGTGGTAGCACCTGTAAGGGTCCCAGCTATGAGAAAATAGTGAACCGCTAAACAAAAATAAACAGTACATTTTTATAGTAAAATTAGCAACAATACACATTTTATAATAAAATGATCCTCAATACTGCACTAAAAAAAAAGATAAAAATACATATTTATAGTAAAATTACAAACGATACATATTTATCTGTCTATATTTCTGAGATGAGGTATTATGTACACTATTTACATTATTCGGATTATTGCCCTCATCTTCGTTGCCATATTTATTACAACGTTTCAGCCTTTCCGTATCTGTCTATATTTCTGAGATAATGTATTATGTACACTATTTACATTATTCTGACTATTGTCCTCATCTTTGTTGCCATATTTATTACAACGTTTCAGCCTTTCAATATCTGTCTATATTTCTGAGATGAGCTATTATGAACACTATTTACATTATTCGGACTATTGTCTTCCTCTTTGTCGTCATATTTATTACAATATTTCGGCCGTTGTACGCTCTGGCCTTCTTCATCTCAAGGTCACATAGCACAGTGGATAAAGGCGTTAGTTAGATCCAGTGACAGGACCCAAAGAGTGTGAGTTCAATACCCAGTTAAGGCAGTGGAGAACTTGCAGAGTGGTATTAACAGGAGATAACTGATAACTGACATCCATTAGACATGGCACGTGGAACTAGAACAGTCTACCCCAGTGAGCGAAATAAGGGGTTCATTTCGACAATCCGACCCCCTGACGAAGGCCGGAGCGTACACCGACCGAAACGTTGCAATAAATATGGCGACAAAGATGAGGAGGATAGGATACATTTTTATAGCAAAGAAATGTAAAAATGCATTTTTGTAGTGAAAGTATCAGCAATACATTCATGGCTTGAAAGAAATCTTTAGCCTTGGATGGCAGTCTTCCTAG